ATATCTAGGAATCTGTCTATTTCTTCTGAGTTTTCTATCCTATGGGAGTAAAGATTTTCAAAGCAGGTATTAATGATCTTTTGAATTTCTGTAGGATCTGTAGTGATTTCATCCTTTTCACTCCCTATTGCTTGAATATGAGTTTTTTCCTTTCTTTTTTTGATAAGGTTGGCTAGGGGTTTGTCAATTTTATTTATTCTTTCAAAGAACCAACTCTTTATTTTTTTTTTGTAGTGTTTTCTTTGTCTCAATTGCATTAATTTCTGACCTGATCTTTATAATCTCCTCCCTTCACTGGGCTTTGAGCTTGACTTGTTCTCTTTCTAAAAGTCTCTGGTGCAGCATTAGGGTATTTATTTGTTCTTTTTCTGTTTTCCTTATGTATGAGTTCATGGCTATAAATTTTTCTCTGAGAATTGCTTTCATTGCATTCCCACAGATTCTGGTAAGTTGTATTTACATTTTTCTTTGTTTGTAGGTATTTCTGAATTTCTTCTTTAATTTCTTCTGTGACCCATTGGTTGTTCAGGAGGTTGCTATTTAATTTCCAAGTATTTATGGAATTTTTCGAGCTCCTTTTGTTGTTAATTTCCAATTTCATTGTACTGTGGTCAGACAATATGCATGAGATAATTTCAATTCTTTTGCATTTCGGAAGGTATGCTCTATGGGTTAGGATGTGGTCTATTTTAGAGAAGGACCTATGTGCAGCTGAGAAAAATGAGTATTCTAATGTTGTGGGAACACTCTGTATACATCTACTAAGTCCATTTGTTCACAGATTTGATTCAAATCTGTTATTTCTTTGCTGATTTTTTTGTCTAGTTGACCTATCTCTTCGTGTCAAAGGGGTGTTTATGTCCCCTATTACAATAGTGTTATTAATTATTTGGTTTTTCATGTGTGTTAAGATTTGTCTCTATATAGTTTGGTGCTCTGTTATTTGATGCATACATGTTTATGATTGTTATCTCCTCCTCTTACAGTTTTCCCCTAACAAGTATGTGGTGACCTTCTTTATCTCTTTTGATTGTTTTCAGTTTAAAGTTTATGTTGTTTGCAAACATAACAGTTACCCCTGCCTTTTTCTGGGATCCTGTTGCATGGAGAATTGTATTTCATCCTTTGACTTTCAGTCTACAGATTTCCTTTTGAGAAAAATGTGTTTCCTGTATACAGAATATTGTGGGGTTTTGTTTCTTAATCCACTGTGCCAGTCTGTTTCTTTTGACTGGTGAATTGAGGCCATTTACATTCATGGTTATAACTGACACGTTTTGGCTTATATTTATCACGTTATTTACTTGCTGTTGGTTTCCTACTTTTGCTATCTGTTTAACTGCTTGCTCTGCTTCCTATTGTTGTTCTTGAAATTGAAAAATATGGAATGCTTCACGAATTTGCATGTCATCCTTGTGCAGGGGACATGCTAATCTTCTCTGTATCATTACAATTTTAGTACATGTGCTGCTAAAGTGAGTACTTCAGTTAAATGTGTTTCTTGCATACTGTATATTGTTAGATTTTGTTTCTTGATCCACTCTACCAGTCTACTTCTTTTGATTGGTAAATTGAGACCATTTACATTGATGGTTATAACTGATATGCACTGGCTTATCTTTGTCATGTTATTTTCCTGCTGTTGGTTCCTCTTGTTTCCCTCTGTTTAACTGCTTGCTCTGCTTGGCGGTTACTTTTTGTTGTTGTTCTTGAAGTTGTGGTCTTTTTTTTTTTATCTCTTTCTAGAATATCTTTTAGTACTTTTGTAGGATTGGTTTGGTGCTCATAAAGTTCTTCAGTTGATCTTTATTGTTGAAATATTTTATTTCTCCATTAATTTTGAAGGATAGTTTTGTAGGGTACATCAATCTGGGTTGGAGGTTGTTTTCTTTCAGGACCTGAAATATTTCACTCCATGCTCTTCTTGATGGTTTGTGTTGAGAAATCTGCTGTGATTCTAATGGGCTTTCCTTTATAGTTGATCTATTTCTTTTCTCTAGCAGCTTTTAATATTCTGTTCTTTTGTTGAATTTCTGTCATCTTGATCACTATATGTCTGGGTGTAGAGTTATTTTGGTTATGGCTAGTTGGAGTTCTATATGTCTCCCTTACTGGATGTCCAATTCTTTTTCCATGCTTGGGAATTTTCTGCTATTACTTCTGCAAATTGTCTTTTTATGTCATTTGTGCTGACACCTGCTGTTTCATTGATACCTATTAATCTTACATTGTTTTTCTTTGCTTTGTCTTGCAGCTGTTGAACTGTTATTTCTTGATTTCTTGTTATTTTTAAGAGATCCTTCCTTTACGGTCATTACCAGCAGTGCTGTCTTCAAGGTCTAAAAGTCTGTCTTCAGCTTTGTTCAAGTGGTTTTGCTGGCTTTCGATGGAAGTTTTAATTTCCTGGATATCTGTTTGAATCTGTTTCATGCACTGCAGTTCTTTCCTAAATTGTTCATTCAAGGTTTCTATTAATTTTCTATGCTCCTCTATTTTCTGTCCTATGTCTTCCTTCGATGTGCTAAACAATTTTTCATTACTGTTGTAATTTCTTTTTTTACCTCAGGGATAATTTTGATTATCTCTGATGGAGATGTTTCTCTACTTCAGCTGCTATCATGTCAGAAAATTGGAGTTGTTTCTTTACTTCAGCTGCTATCATTTGGAGTTGATGAGTTGTTTCTTTACTTCAGGTGCTATTATTTCAGAAATTTCAGGTGTACGACTTCCAAGCTCTTCTGTGTTGCTATCTCCTAGACTTGTTCTGGGTGGGATGGAGGTTTGCGATTGCGTTTTTCTCCTTGTTTCATCATTTTCAGAGATCCAGAGGTTCCCTGGAGTTCAGGTTCACTCCCAGGATGGTGTCGGAGTGGCAGGGCAAGGACCCAAAGGTCTCTGGTGCTCAGTGTGGCTCCTCGATGGTGTGGAGGTGGAGTGTGATCCCCAGCGCTCCCATAGCTGTCCGGGGCTCAGTTTGGCTCCCACTCAGGGGCTCCCAAAACTGTCTAGGTTTCAGCCCTGTTTCCACTGGGATGTAGTAGACGGGGGCTGTGGTCACTGAGGCTCAAGACACTGCCTGGGACCCAGCCCAGTTCCCATGCCAGATGCAGGAGTTGAGTGCACAGTCATTGAGGCCGCTAGAGCTGTCTGAGGTTCAGCTTAGCTCCCCTAAGGGTGTGGGGTGGGGGCAGGGAGTGGTACCCATGGCCCCTGAGCTTGTCTGGGACTCTGCGTGGATCCCAAGCTGGCAGGGCAGAGGTGGGGCCCGCTCACCATCATTCCCAAAGCTGTCCAGGGTTCAGGTCAGCTCTAATGGTGGTGGTGGGGGCATGAAGGATGGGCAGGGAGAGGCCCCCAGGCCCCTGAAACTGTCCAGGGCTCTGCCTGGCTCCCAAACACGTGAGGGAGGGCCAGCGGTGGGTCACCAGCATTCCTGAAGCTGTCTGAGCTTCAGCTCAGCTCCAACAGGGGCAGAGGGGCGTAAAGTGGCCCCTCATATCCCTGAAGCTGTCTGGGGCGCTGCCTGGTTCCCAAGCTCATTGGGGAGCGGTGGCAGTGGCTCACCAGTGTTTCAGGATGATATCTTAGTTTCGGTAATACCAAACTGCATGCAATCTTGGTACCATCTGTCCTACTTCCTTTCCCTCTGCCCTTGCTTATGTTGTTTCTCTTTCTGGAAAGGTCTCCCTTCTTCCCCACTCACTCTAGCAACCATTTACACAGCCTCAGACAAGGAGTTACTTCCTTTTAGAAGTTCCCTTAAATGCTAAAATTAGGTTAGGGGTCCCTTCTTGCAGTTTTCAGACTATCCAGAGCATATCTCTCTCAGTGTGTACAGGATACTGTTCAAAGTACAATTATCTTTTTAAGTGTTTGTCTCCTCCACAAGACCTTAAGGATAAAAATGATTTTTATATCTCTGTGCCAAACACAGATGGTATTCAAGTAAATGGCTAATGAATAATAACATAATGATTCTTTCTCTGTCCTTGTTAGCTCTAGGTATTTGGCTCTTTCTGTTATTTGCAAGCCAATCCCAGAGTTCTGATTTCCTCCCAGGTGCCTGGTCAAACAATAGTAAGCCTAATCCCTTTCTCACCAGGATGTAGAGCTAGGTTACCTCTGACCTCCCAGGGCATGTTGAAGGAAGGAAGAAAGGAAGGAAGGATAGGAAGAAGGAAGCAGAGAATGAGAAAGGGCAGAAAGACAGAAATTTGGCTGGCTTACCTCTGGAACATAGCCTACGCACAGCTGAGGCAGTGCTTGGTGGGAGACCACAGGAGGGAAGCAAGGGCCGGTAAACAGGAGCTCGAAGATTTGGGGAGGAGCTGACAAGTTTGGTGGGATTCAAGGCAGAGTCCATTGAGTCTGAATGTGGTGCCAAGGACCGAGGCAGACTACTCCCAAGGACAAAGGTTTCACCTAGAAAACAATAAAACCATGCTTAGATCAGGGAAGAGCTTGGATAGATTGTTAGAGTACTCATTCCTGAGTACCTGCTTGAGTGGGCAAGAGGCAGCAAGACAGAAAGCTGTGGATGGAACTCAGGAGGCCTGTGTATCAGTCATGGCTCTGGTTCTCAATGGGTGACCTTAGCTACATTCAATACCAATCTAGACTTTGGTTTCTTTAGAGACTCTTTCTCTTTAACAGATAGGCTTTCAGTTTTTTCTGATCTGGATGCCCCAGGCCAGTATGGCAAACCTTTTAGAGCCTTCAATGATACAAACAGCCCACTGCAGCACACTATCATAGGTTCACTACCCCTGCTCTAGGTTTTTTCTGGAAAGATGACCTTAAAATATGAAGCTATTCTAGAAGAGACTATCTTAGTCACAAGATGCTACAGGAAGGAATAGGGGTAGGGAAAAATGGATACATATGCCCAGATTAAATTCCTTGGAAGCTGACACTCTGCTCAATCAGAAGGACATCTCAGAAATCCTTCCTGATGCCTCATTAAAGGCCTGACTGAAAAGGATCTGTTCCCACATTCCATCCCTCTGATCACACAAAAGTTTCTAAGGAAGCTGGGGTTGTGTACTGGGGAGAGCTTGGACATGGACACCAGGATCAGAGTTGGAATTTGGCTTTGCTGCTCAGTACAGTGCTCTTCTGAAAATCCTGTATCCTTACCTATAGCATGGGAAGCTTATCTGTACCATGGGATACCTTGTAAGAGACTTGTAAGAATCAGAAGTAAACAGCTTTGAGCACCTTTGGAAAAAGAATCTTACTGATATTTCTACATCCATCCCATAGCCTGACACCAGGCAGCAGTGCCCCAGTCAGGGCAGTGCAGAACCCGAAGCTGAATCCCTCTCGTGCTTGAGTTCTATGTAGACCAAATCAGTTCCTCAGCCCTGGCACAACACGCCCTGAGTGTGTTGGTCATGGGTACCAGACTGTATTACTGTTCTTCACACCTTTCTTAGAGATCAGATGTTTAGATAATGCTTAGGATTAATTCAAGGGGCTCTGATGAATTATGAATTAATTATTTAGCCCATAAAAAGACCTTAGTCCCAAGATAGTTCAGGACTTTTAGGACTACTTTTTAGTACTCACCTAAAATTCCTCAGTAACCACTGACTGAAAGTCAAATTTGATAGTTGAGTACCTTTACTAGGGAGGTTAGTTGTTGAAGCCCTTTCCCAGAAGTAGTTCTGAAAAGAGAAGTCTCTAAGGCTCCAGATACTTAAATCATGTCCTACCCTCATTCTGCATACATTGTTTCTGGTTCCTGTTTTCCAGGAGAGAAGGTGGAAGCATGTTCTACTCTGGGACATGAATAAAAACTCAATCTGAGAAGCAGGAGACCTGGCTTCTAGCCTGGTTTTTGCTTTTTGCTAAGTATGTGATCCTGTGCAAGTAGCTTTTCTTCTCTGAACACATTTCCTCATGTGTAAAATGGGGGAAACCACCTCTAGTCATGCAGAGAACATCAAATGAGAAAATGGAATCAGGTAAACTGTATGAATGAGAAATTTTGTTTTCATTCAGAATTAGAGTAGCAGACCTAAGCTCTCCACCATTCTCTGAAAAAAGGCAAAAGATCTGATCTAGTCTCCACACTTATCAGCAGAGTCTTGACCTTTCTAGCCCTCATGTTGCTCAGGTATGATAAGAAGATAGTGCTGCCTGCCTCACAGAAGCTGACAGATGATATGATGGATAATGGTAACAGTACAGAGTTCAGAAGACATAGATCAGTGGGAGTCTTCCCTTCAGTAATTCAAAGGACATTAACAGATCTGGATTCTAAGTTGAGGGGTCTGAAAATCTGGATTGGTGGCATGTGGACTAGGCAAAGTCATCAAATCCTGTCCTAATGAGATGTACAGGAAAAACAAAGCACTATAACCTCTGGGAGGCCCTAGTCCTCTTAAGCCTGGTCAGATGAGATCCTGGCTGCCTTTGGTATGACAAGGTCAGAGTAGAACACCACTGTTGTGGGCTATGTCTAGACGAACCTCTCAAAGTCTCATGCAGTCATAGGTGGGGCTTTTTCAGAAGTGACTGGATCAAGAGTGTGTGATGCTGGGATTGATTCATGGTGCACTGCTATGCTCAAGGGCACTAGGATTAAGGGTATGAGTACTACCTGCCCTAAGTAGCTTGTATAAAATATAAGGGATAGAAAGAGCTGTGGTTGTCCCTTGTTTGCTTTGCTACCTTTTGCCCACCATGAACGTTTCTCCTCTGTGATGCCTATCTGCCATGCCATCCTGCCTTGGAGCCAGCCAATTATGGACTGAAACCTCTATAAACTTGAGCTAAATAAGGCTTTCCTCCTTTAACTTTGTGTGTCAGGTTATTTTGGTTGAGCAACTAGAAAGTAACTAAGAGAACAACATTATTTTCCAACTATGCCCCACAGAGACCCTGAGGACCCTTACAGGGAGGCTCAAAGCTTGGTGCCAGCTCTTATCAAAACAGCTCTGGTTTTAGTTATCCTGTACAGGTGTGTACATACACCTGTAATCCTACTGACTCAGGGGCTGAGGCAGGAGGACCACAAGTTCAAGCTAGCCTGGGCAACTTAGTGAGACCTTGTCTCAAAGTAAAATTTAAAAAATGGCTGGTAATGTGGCTCAATAGTAGAACACTTGCCTACCATGCACAAGGCCCTGGGTTAAATGCCCAGTACTGCAAAACCAAAAAACAAGACAGCTCTGGTTTTAACTATTATATACTGGAGGTTCATTATATTTTTACCTTTGCAAAAAACAGAGTTCTGTTAAAACAAAACGAATTTCACTGGCTTAGGTGCTAACAGGTTGGAGCTGGAAGACTTGAGTTTTATTTCTGGCATAATCAGTCATCAGTGGTCAGTGTACAGATGAAGATGAAAAAAAATCTTTAACCAACTTCTAGGAAGATGGTGGAGTGGTAAGCAGCAGAGAAAGCGCCTCTCTGAGATTTGATGTCCAAACACTAGAATATAGCAATGTAAGGAAGAAAAGGAGGGAAGTGGGGTCTCTGGGACCCAGGAAGGATCTGAAGTGAGAATTGAAGCCCATGGATAGCAAAGAGAGAAACCTCAACACTACTTTTGTTCACACACTTAATATTATTTAAGATTTTGGAAAAGATGGCCATGTTTGGGCTTGTGTGGGAAAGACGGCTGCAGTCATGTTTGTCATTTGATGCAGTTTGCAAACAAAAGCAAAATCTGGCAAATGCTTCTGTTTGCAGAACAAACTGCTTGCAAACAAAAGTGTGTGTGAACTGAGGTAAACACTGTATTATAGACACAAATATATGTATTTACACTTAAAGAAAGAGACAAAGTAAATATTTCAAAAAATTAAGTGGAAAATGAAGATGAGAATACATGGTTGAGCAGTATACCTTTGCAAATTTTCTTCAGGTCTGAAAGTTTTCAAAACAAAACAGTAAAAAATATAGTTTCAACTTAGGTAAGAAAGCTTAAAGGGATATAAAATCTACCTGAGTTTTTGGTGGCTATCTTACATATTAGAAGTGCATGTTCAGTTGGGCTAAGACCACAGGGGTAGGATAGTGTCTCTTAACACAGCGATTGGGTAGCAGGAGGGAAGGGAGGCTCCGGTAAACTTTATCTAGTCCAGAGAACAGAGATGGTATCTACAAATGTCAAACTAGTAGAAGTATATAGCCAGGCAGATAGGTAGAAGTAATAACAGATACAAAGGGTAACCCAAAAGACAGCTCCTGAATGATCAAGCTCTTTGCTCTTGAACAGATCAAGCTCTTTAGCAAAGGTTTAGGCAAGTAATCAGAAAAATGCATGTACTGATAAAAGAATAAAGGCAAAATAAATGTTCAGTATGGCAGGCGGCAGGCAGGTAAGAGAGAGGCTATAAAGCTCAGAAGCATCAGAAGTCCAGAGAAGGCCCTGGCTTGTCTAGAAAACGCTCACTCAGTAAGGCAAACAGGAACCAGGGTGAGAGTAACAATGTGGTGAGTACTCGATATGAGAAAAGGAATTAGAGAGCAGAGAACGATATAGAATTGGCTCAGTCTGCCTGAAAATGGGGGTAGGGAAAGGTGGCACCCAATGTCAGAAAGCAATACTCCATTTCTCTGTGAAGAGTCTGGTTGAAGCTTGCTCCTCTTACCTGGTAGCTGAATAAGAGAAATATGGATTGCAAAAGAATTCCCAGGAAAGGTCATGCCCCAATCTCAAACTACCTTCATTACTACAGGCCCACAACATACACATCTCAACCAGTCTGAGTGCCGCTGCCAGTGTATCTCTTGTAGTTCTTAATTTAATGATACTATGCCAGTTCAGAATTCTAGGTTCCTAGTTCTTTGAGAAATTTCTCTTTAGCCTAGCAGCTACATTCATGGACATGCCCCCTCTTCATAGGCAACCTTGCTTTGAGAATCCCAGGTAGGCCAACTTTTATTACTGATACAGAGCTCAGAGTTCCTGAATGCCAATAGCTGGGGATATTTAACAACCCTCCTCTGTCTGTACCAACTCCACCATACCAGTGCAGCATTCTAACTACAGCTACGAATGCCTTTTTCTGTTCTCAGATTCTAATGCTGAAAGAAAGCAATCTAGAGCAGGCTGGGTGAGAAATTCTCTCTGAAGGAAAAAAACCAGCCTGGGGCATGGATACAGCTGTAGCAACCAGGTAGTCTGGTCCCCACAGCAGTAACTGGAATTCAGGTATCTTTTTGATTCTCTTGCAAGTAACATAAGCAACACTCATCTGGATGCAGAAGTATAGATAGAGCATAGGGAGAAGGGGACTGGGAGGGCAGTCGTTTCCCCAAGCACATTCTCCAGAAGCAGCAATTAAATTGGACGTGTATCCTTTAAGACTATGATGAAAAGAGAACAGGGAATGCAGCACGGAACACAACTTGTACAAGGAGAAGGGCCAAGGGGCACCTTTCAGACTATGCTCTCCCATGGGCACAAGCATAGCCCCACACTTACAGCAGCTTTCCCTGCTCCTCTGCTCAGGTCACAGTCCACAGATCTCCTTTAAAAGCCTTTCCTCCCTCTCAAGAGAGACCTACCTCGCTACGGTTAGGGCTGAGCTTTCTTTTTCTCCTCTGCTCTGTGTCCTGTACTTCAGATTAAAGATGCTGAGTTCCATTCAGTCTTCCATCTCTCTCAGAAGTGCTTAGTCACTGACTGGCCACGTGGCATTCACTTTCCTATTGTGGGTCTGGTATGTTAACTAAGAAAGTTATTTTTCAGCCTACTTGGAAACAGCAAGAACTTGAATTGACTTGCTAGACTGGCAGTGCTACAACAGTTAGGGCCATGTGCCAAAGCAAAGAATGGATGGCCACTCACAGGGGGGCAGATTTCTCAATCTCTACCCTGAGACTAAACTTTTCTGCTGGCAAAGGAAAGCTATGTTAGGGTTTTGCTGCCAGATTCACACTAGGAGATGTTCTGTGACTTCAGGGTGACTCCAAAGGTTGTTTTGCCCTCAAAGGGGGAATTATAAGACAATTTTCTCTAGGGATAAGGATCCAGAAGAAAGAAGAATAATTCTAGAGAAAGAAGGAAAAAAATCCAGAAGACTGTGAAGATTACAGAGCCCAAAAAGTCCAATGTGATGCAAAGGTAAGGGACAGAGAGAAAATGAGCTTTCTGGACAGTAGATACCAGGCTAGCAGGTGTGGGCCCTTACAGGTGCTGCTACCAGCCCTGTATCCCCTCTGAGCCCATGCCCCATCCCAGCTCCTACCTGGTAGGTACCTGTCGTGGCTGTGGTCGTATTCTGTGGCAGTGACTGATAAGTGAGTCTGTGTAAAGGGCTGGTTGCCAAACAGATTGTCACTATGAAGGTTGTGGCAGAGCTTCTCCAGGAAGCGGAGGACGTAGGTGATGCTGTTGACTGCTGGGAGGTTGAGAGTGTGCTGTTCCCGGTCAAACACGGCTGTGGAGTTAGGTAAACAGAGCCATGCACGTCAGCTGGACAGTGCAGGGCAGTGCAGGGCAGCACAGCGCAGGGCCAGAGGAGCTCAGCCCACTGCTTGTCTCAGGCTTACTAGGTTACACAAAGGCAGTCAGTGCCCAGGCTGCTTCCCTCCCTCCCTCCCTGCTTCCCTCCCTCCCTCCCAGTTTCCCTCCCGCCTCCCTTCTTTTCCTCCCTCCCTCTTCCCCTCCCTTCCTCCCTTGAGGGCTTTGATTTTTGCCTCCTACCAGAAAGGGCATGCAATAATGGGAGTGGCTAGGCCAAGTCTTTTGCAGCTGCAGGGCTCAGAATAATTTCACTCAACTTGTGAAAACAACTGTGAACATAATTCTATCTGCTCCATCATTTGGAAGGGCCTCCTCCAGGAAATCTGTTCATTTAGGGTGCTGTTTTCATATGAACTTCCTAAGAACAGAGGAGCCGAGCAGAAGATGATAATACAGCTATTGCTAGCAATGGTTTGGGTATATAATTTCCAAACTGCATGACACCAGGGTTTTGGCAACATTTGGGATTGTTTCATGCTTGGTTTTATTATACTTCTTATTTCTATTAAAAATATCAGCATAATTTTTTAGAAGCAAAAGCCTGTGATTTTTGTCTCTGAAGGAGTGAGGAAATGGAGATTTAGTTTCATTTTTTTTTTTTTTTGGTGCCAGGAATTGAACTCGGGACCTTGTGCTTGCCAGGCAAGCACTATACCACTGAGTTATATCCCCATCCCTGAAATGGAGATTTAGGGTGATAGGTACTCTTAGGAATCAGTTTGGTGGCAGAAGAACTTTAGTGGGGCAAAAGTGAAAGCAGCTAAGGAGGAGATAAAGAAGGCCTGTTCCTGAAAAAACGCTTCACAGAAGCAAAAGACAGCCAGAGAGGAGCCTGGACTTCAAAGGATACATGAATTTAATCTGCCAGCAGTTCCGAGCCTTCTAGAATAATTCCCTTTCTGTCTGCCCCTATCTTCCACACATACAATTACTCAAGTCTGGGCTCCCATACATTTCCTTATTCTAACAGTTGTTACCCTTAGCTGTTTAGAATTTTTGTTTTTTCACCAGCATAGACTTGAGCCTGTCATCGTCTCTTCTTCTACTTTCCCACCAGTGTCTGGCAATAACCTCTGACATATGGAAAGGACTCAACAAATGTTCACCAAAAAAGTCATTTGGTGATTTATGGGGTCTTTCATGTCAGCTAGGTTTCTTGAAGCTGGTTATAGCAACTTGTTAGGGAGGAGGGCAGGGAAATATGGAAAAGCATTACTGTTAAGATTGGAAGGCTGTAGGTTAAGCCTTCATTGGTTTGATGGGTAAAGAAAAGAATTTTGGACTTAGAAAACTGAAACAGAAGGAAGGCATAGCAGAAAAAGTGAGTATTCTCAGTGAGAGCTAAAAATAATGTATTGTTGAATTAAAGTCTCAGCAGTAAAGAAAGAGGGACTCATACTTCCCCTTCTACCCCTGAGATTCAGAGCCCTTGTAGAGGGTCTGGCTTAGGCCCAGAGAAGATACAGCATGAAAGAATAAAGGAAGAGATTAGGGGTTTCCTGAAACCAGTGGGGAGGGCATGGCGGTCTGAAGAAATTCTCATAGCCCCTCTCACTTCCTCCTTCTAGAATGCCTTAAAACCGTATACTCATACATTTTCTGAATGGGGGAGTTAAGCAAGGAGATAGGAAAGAAACCTTTTTAGAGGCTCAGTTAGGCACAATCTGCTTGGGTATTCCTGGCAGAGATATGCAAAAGGCTCAGAAGAGGTTGAAAGTTGGAAATGAGGGCTCTTTGAGGAACAAAATACTTTCATATTTCTCCAGAGCCGGTAAGTGTGAATTAGTAAACAGGATGCCTTGTCAGAAATCAGTCAACTGAGAAGGCCTGCTCCTCTAAGCAGGAGGTCATACTAGCTCAACAATGCTCACCTGAGATGACCTCACCACCATGGCCCTGTTTGAGGAAGCTGAAGACGGTTTTCTGGTGGTAAGCACAGTCGATGCAAGCCTGGACTGCTTGTTGCAACACCACAGACGCGCGGGCTGGCCCAAAGTGGTCAGGGAGCTGCTGGACCTTCTTTTTATCCAAGTGGGGGCCTGTGCTGCCGCTCTTGTTCAAGTAGATACAGACTATAGGAGATAAAGAATTCAAGAAACTTATAGAATACCTGGCTCAAAGAAGTCAGACAACTGTATTCTATCTATCACACCCTGAGGTCTGGTCTCCACCAGGACTCCCAGTAGCTAAACTGCTGAAATTCTGGCAGCTCAAGGGTGGGGACCCAGAAAAGGCTGTGCCTGGTTGCTACCTGCCCACACTGCATGACCAGGTAGGGAACACAGCCTACTTGGAAAACAGCCCAGACCAAAAGCTAAGTATGTAATTGGCATTTTATATTTTGTGCCCTGAAAAGAAAATCTAAATCATTTTCCAGGTATATACACTCTCACTTTCTGTACTTGGTTGCCTCTTGTATTCTTTGTGCCTCACATCTTATATATATAAGGAGTTACAGGGCGATGGAAATATTAGCTTATGTATATGTTAGCACTGGATATAGAATCGTCACACCACTGATCACTTGCCTGTATTTTTGTTCTTGGCCTAGGAGCTGCTTTGTTATCTTCTACATAATACTCAGTCCCCAAGAAAGTATTAAAAAGGAAAGAAAAACAAAACAAGATCAAAAAGACCTTTCAGGTCA